TGGTGAATCAAATGATTTTCTAATTCCCAAGCTTTCGCTAGCGAATTTACAATTTCGGTACAATATCTATTAATCTTGTATGCTTACGAATGGGTAAAAGAACACTTCGAGTCTGTAATTTTACGTTTTTTGCTTATAAGTTTTTTGATCACTTTAGTGCTAAAATTTTTGAAAAACGATCACTTAAGTGCTAAAATTTTTGAAAACGATCACTTAAGTGCCAACTCCGGTGCCGTACACAATTTTTCGCGGAAATCCGACGCGGCATTTTTTTATTAATTTACGAAGCGCGTGGCTCGGGAGATTGGCACTTAAGTGATCGTTTTCAAAATTTTTAGCACTTAAATGATCGTTTTTAAAAATTTTAGCACTTAAGTGATCGTTTTTCAAAAATTTTAGCACAAGTGATCCAAAAAACTTATGACACTTAAGTGATCGTTTTTCCTCCGACTTGGCACCAAAGTGATCCGAAAAAAAGTTATGGCACCAAAGTGATCTCCGTACACAAGTTATGGCATTTATAGTATCTTTTTGCCCTTACGAATGATATGGTGTATGTTTTTATTGTATTCTATGTTGGGAAGCTATCTCTCTGTGGCTATAAAATAAATAAATACGCGATTTAGTGCGATGTGCAATTTTATATCCGCGATTTCTACTTCCGATGTAATCCCTGTGCTAATGAAATAGCGGATGGCCTATTGCATCGTAGATATTAAAGCGAAGAAAACAAGCGGTGTCCAGTCAGAACAAGATAGAAAAAAAAACGATCATAATGGATACAATAATAAAAAATCAATTTTCATCATTACATATTTGTTGCAGCTTCACTTTCCTCTCCAAGTATCTTTGTTTTATCAACAACCAGATTCATTAAAATTTTATCAGACAGCCAGTTAATTAACCATTCTTAAGCGTGCAAGGTTAAAGCTTCGTTTTATTAGCGAGTTACACGATTATATCCATGCCCTCGAGAAAGTTGCTCAATTCACCACGGTAAAGCCAAAACTACCGGAAATGATCGATTTACCGCAAAGTTACGCGGTTGAAGTCCGAAAAAGTTATGTAGTTCGAGATGAAAAGTAAAGTCGAAATTGAAAAAACATTTTTTTTGTTTGTAAGGGATGCACAGGCAGCAAAGCAAATGGTAGCAGAAGCTAACATTCATTCAGGCCCTATATTACTTGCTGCAGTGAATTTCCATGCACTTCCAAACATGCAACTTCCCGGATGCAGTACAATGAACAAAATCAGATTACTCCGTAAGCTGCATGAAAAATCTATCTGAAACCGAGATTCACATCGAGGCCAAAGTGAAAAAGATTAGCTTCCCTATTTCAATTTTCCCCAGTGATTCAGATCTAAAAACACAAAGAGGCGCGACAAAACTACCTTCTCAGCCGACGCATTGTCCTCGTTCAAGATTCCCTGTGAAGAAGATCGACTCGTCGAGTATCACTCCTCTCACTGCCCTCACCATTCTCCCTGTGCATTTCTCTCTGCAGAATATGTTCGCTTTGTGCGCACAGAGGTGTCAACAGTTCTGCTCTGGTCGGGTTTCCATGATACCCAATCTGAACCGAAACATGGAGGATTCGGCTTGTTCTGATCCGAACAGAGACCTGACCCAGTGACCCGAATGTGACCCGAAAATACGTATTAGGCGCCCATCTGGTACTATTTCACTCGGGATAACCGTCAACCTTTCCAATGATCTACAATCATCAAATTCCATCCTGTCCAAAACCTGTCCAAAACCTTTAACTGATCAAGGCCCTCGACAACCCATAGCACTGGTTAATATGCCTCAGGCTTTTCAATTTTGACAAATCAACTAAATGTTCCACAGAGTGGCACCCATTAAGAGAGAACTCTTCCGATGATTCCAACTTGCAGACGACTTGGATGTTGGGTAGCTTATGGCACTCGGGCAACTTCTCTTCTAGATTCTTTAAGACGCTCCATATAGAAGGAATACTCTCAGCCCACGAGCAGTTGACTCGCCTGATGGCTGTAGTTCCAAGAGAGAACCTAGCCTTTCTAAAGACTCGCCGCCGTTGATAGCTAATCTCTTCAGTGATTCCGGCACGCTGCCAGCAAATTGAATCTGGACCAGCTTCGACAACCAGACGCCTAATACTTCCAGTTTCTTTAAGCTTGATCGAATGGGTGATTCTCCAGTTCACACCACTTAACCAAACTTTCCAACTCGTAAGTCCCTCAAGTTGCATCGCTTTCATTCCAAAAGGAGAGAGCTCTAAAGCCGACATGTTTTCAAAATTTTTCAAGCTGGACTTCATCAAGGTTTGAATCCACCAGAAAAGATGGAAGTTGTGTGCAGGATTGCAGGGGTCTAGTACAGCCAAAGTAAGTGTTTAGAAGAGAAAGCGAGCCTAACTGGGGGGCACGCTGATATTCCCAAGGCAAAACTCAATTTCTTTCAGTTTAGACAATCTCCCGATCCACCATAGGTCACAAGTCTGCACTAACTTTAATCCTTCTGTATAACCAGTGCCAGCATGCTGAATCAATTCCACCAATTTGTCAGATTTGAGAGATTAGGAACCAACTGCAACGAACTAGATTTGAATCGTAAACACATCAAACTTATGGGAAGCTCTGGCAACTCTTCAATCTCACGCTATACTATGTTCATTTTTTCAAGGCGAGGAAGCAGATTCATTGTACCTGGCAAACTGATAGTTCCTGTACGTGAAAAATTTAGGATTCTCCACAAGGACCATGTCCCGAGTTTGGCAGGGATTTCAACCTCTAGCACTGGACCACTATAGATATGTAGCTCTTCCAAATTCTCCAACATTCCAATATTACTAGGAAACTCCCATCGTTTCCAAGTACCAATTGATTAAGATACGACAGTTCCAACACGCAGAATGATTTTAACTTTCTGATGGAACTAGAAAGTATCCTGAAGTTAGTGAAAGAAAGACTAGTACTCCAGCTTCACCAGCCCTTCAATAGAGTTCAGAAGTTTGGTGATTGCTGTGCGTGATATGCTGAGAGTTGACAAAATAGTTTAATCCACTAAGAGAATCCGGTAAGCTACGGATCGCCATGTTCCATACATAAAACTTACCAAATTAGTCGAGGAGTTTCTTCTCCATGAAACATCCATTTAAAGGGAAGTGATTAAGATTCACCAGCCCCACAATTGCTTCAGGCAACTCTTTAAGACGCCTGCAACTTTCAATACTCAAGTCAGTCAAGCACTTCAGTTTTCCAGCGGAGCAGTCAATTTCCATCAAACTTGAGAGCAACTAGAAAAGTCTGGAGTTTTAGTTATGGCAGAACAGTTTTTCAGCGTCAGAACTAGCCATCTGCAAAAAAAGAACGTATTGCAGAAGTGGAATATCAAGTATTAGAGGATCATATAACTAAAGGAAAAAAATAAAAAACATACTAGAAGATGAGACAAACCTAAAAAAAAGAAGGTAAAAAACCACCAAAAACCCCAAACTTTGCCATCTGTAACACATTTACCCCGAACTTTTTTTTGTGACACCAAAAACCCCGAACTTTGCTTTTTGTGACACATTTACCCCAATGTATTTAGTTCATGGGCATTTTTGTCTTTTTTGGTTTTTCTTTTTTTTTTTTCTTTTTTTTCCTTTCCGGCGAGGGGGGCCTCGCCAGATCCGGCGTCGGGCGGCCCTCGCCGGCGTCGGGCGAGGGTCGACCTGCGCCCGAGTCGGGCGAGGGCGACGTCGGCGAGGGCCGCCCTCGCTCGCCCGGGCGAGGGCGACCCTCGCCGGCGTCGGGCGAGGGTCGACCTCGCTGAGTCGGGCGAGGTCGCGCGGGCGAGGCCCCCTCGCCGGATCCGCGAGGGCACCCCTCGCCCGACGCCGGCGAGGCCCTCCCTCGCCGAAAAGGAAAAAAAAAGAAAAAAAAAAAAGCAAAAAAGACGAAAATGCCCATGGACTAAATACATTGGGGTAAATGTGTCACAAAAAAGCAAAGTTCGGGGTTTTTAGTGTCACAAAAAAAAGTTCGGGGTAAATGTATCACAGATGGCAAAGTTTGGGGTTTTTAGTGATTTTTTCCCAAAAAAGAAAGGTTCTGCAAGATGAGACAACTAGGCTTCAAGTAAATACGTAACATACCGTGAGTGTGCTCCATACTTCATCTGTGAAGTCATTGTAACAAAGTTCGAAAACAACTACATTCTTTAATTGATATTGGCCACCCTAAAATCCGGTTGAGGAAAAGCCCAAGAAATCCATCTTAAGTTCGAAAGCCAATTGGTGAAGTCTCCAGCAAAAGTTCCTCTGTCCAATTTAAGGAACCTTAGATGTCCAAACCTTTCCGTCTCTTCAATAGTAATATGGAATCTTGGAAAACTATGACATGCTCTTGAGGACATCGATAACCGATTCTTGGAGAAAATGCACAATTTTCCCCATGTGAATTGCCTTATTCCTTGATCAAAAAATTGCCTTGCTCTGGTTCGCAATTTCTAGAAAAATTTGTCATCAGTACTTAAGGCATCCTCGTGAGGAACTTTACTAAATTTGTCTTGTCTCTTTTCATTCTCCTTCCTTTTCCGATAAAGGAATGCACCTAACACTGCAAGAGCCAAAGGAAGTCTTCCGTTCAAGGAGACAACGTCTCTCAAAAGGATGTGGTAGTCATCTAAAGGAGCGTCTCTTGTGAAGGCATGCCTGCTGAAAAGCCGCAGTCCATAATCGAAACTCAATTCGCCATTTCATAATGTAGAACATCATACATTAATTCTTTATTATACAAAACATTTTTATCACTAGTTGTAATAATAACTCTACAACCTAAACCAAAAGGTACACTTGGTGACTAACTTCTGGATCTGTTCACACATGTCTACATCATCGAGAACGATGAGGACCTTCTATTTGTGGAGTGTTTCTTCGATCCTCTGCTCTCGATAATCAACGTCATCAATGTTGTTCGCTGCGGAAGAATTTTGAATATCCGATGATAATCTTTTTTGCAACTTGACTATTCATTCATCTCTTGATGACTTTTTCTTGGATGTCATCAAGGAAACTGCTGCACATTCCAGAGTGAGGCAATAGTTGATTCAAGACGACCTTGGCAAGAGTTGTTTTTCCTATGCCTCTCATTCCATGAGCTATAGCCAGCCAGAAACCACTTGCTTCGATAGCTAATAACTTTCTCAGATCTGCCACTCCGTCGTTCATTCCGACTAAATGTTCAGTCACGGACTTATGTATTGTCTTCAGCTTATGCAAAACCACCCCAACCACCAGTTTGATTAGTCCTCTATGGCTGTCACAATTAATTACAAACCAGTTTTAGTGCGAAAAGATCATAATACATCCGTTCATGTTTGTACTCACTTTATTTACTATTCCTTTTCCAAGTAAAAGACCAGGGATAGAAAATGGTAAAACAGCAGAAACTATGCAGAACACGAAAACTTCACAGATGCTAAACACTAGAAATCTTGATTACTACAAATTATTTCAGAAAGTTAGGTAGAGCTTATCAAGAAAATGTTCTATGAAAAAGAAAAAAGCTAGAGGAGCTTACCCGTCATCCTTTTTCAGGTTCCATCTCTTTAGTTCATCGACTTCTTGAAGAGCCTTTCGACAAGCCTCGACCTCAACGATACTCAACTTCTGCTCTTGCTCCAACTTCAATATGGCATCACGGAAGAATGCAGTTTTAAGCTTGACATCCTCCACGTCGAAGAAAATGGGAAGAATCTCTTTCAACCCCTGCGATTTAGAAGTTTGTTGTACCATGACTGTGAGCTCACGGAGGCACCAATGACCAGAAGCTAAGTAGATTATGGAGTTCTCTATCGCACAGGGAAGCTCTTGTTTCATTTTTTTGCCAACTCGGAGTTCACCGTGGTCTCGAGAAACACGGAACCCAACATCCACCAAGCCATGGCAAAGGCAGTTAGTGAATCCATGGCGAGAGTCCGGTCCTCTAAAGCTCGGAAACACCCGGTACTCGCCTCGAAACACATCGTCGCTACTCATTCCAGCCTCTAAGTTTGCAGAGATCGACCTACGAATATTCGCCATGTTAGCAACTGGTGAAGGTATTCCCTTAACTATATGTAATAATAAACTCAAAGAAAAGTGGTTTATAAAGTAGATTGCTTTAGATAAAGCGACTGTGGACAATCTAGAGCATAAGAGAGTAAAACAAGGCAGGAAAGCAAAGATATGGCGGGACAACTTGATGTCAACTCATCCTGTGTATCGCAGTGCAGATACTGCACACTAAGGTGGAAGATAATATCAGAACGTGAATCTGTCAAGATGAACCCTAAGGACAACAAGGTACATGAGACACTACATTGTTCGCGATATGCTGAAAGCAAGAGGTTCACAAAAGCGGAACACTTTGTCTTGCGTAATGTACTAGAAGAAAGTGGCTTATGACATGATTACGTTACATAAAACTGACTTTTGAAAAGGTAAGCATGAGAGAGAGAAAGTAGAACCTTTATAGTTCTTTTTCAGCTGGCAAAGTTGCGTGGACCACAGTCCCAACTTCGGATGTAAATGTGGGCTTTATACGAATAAAAAAGTTAAGCGATGAGAACTCCGATGGCCTCTTAAAAAAGTAGAAATTAGGAAATGTCCCACATCGATCGTGAACACACATGGATCTAAGTTTATATTGGCCAATGGGGATTGAAAATTTGGAATGATACATAAAAGATTAGCATGGTTTCTGCAGCAAAAATTGAAAAATGATTCTAATTTTTTCGTACTTTTTCAGTATAATTTTTTTTTCCGTATGCTTGGAGTCATCCCAAATTTTATTACATTCACCTTTTCTTATCAATCCTGATATACTTTCTCTAGTTATTATTGTGCAAATCTCGGAATTCATACTACGAATAGTAATACAAATCTTCAATGTGTGGAAATGACCTTATTTTTTTAACTTATTTTCATATTTTGCAATACATATGTCTTGACTTCAAATTAGGCAATACTCACAAAACCTTTCAAAATATACAAATACTGACAAAATGAGATTGCTTTTGCTTTTTATTAAGAAAAACAAAAGCCAATAATCCCCCCAAACTATTTTTGCATTTGATTCTAGAATCTTGTTTTTGGAGACAGCATGTTTGCTGTGTTCCGCTTTGTGCTTCAAATTCGAAGCAACCCTTAAATTCATAAATGCGAGTATCGTGTGAAGGAATTGCCTTCGAGAAAGGGAAAAAAAACTTCAGTTTGGTCTACGCTTGCCGAGCAGATGGTCCATCTCATGTCTTTTTTTTTTTTTTTTTTTTGGTCAAGCGTCTCATGTCTTTTCACTGGCTAGATTTGTTATCATATGCGAACTTGAGCTCTAAAGCTGCGTTTAGTCGTCTCGGATTCGGATTGAAATAGGATAGGATAAAGCGGGATTAGATATTCTTTGACTATCTTCCGGATCGTACAAAATCTCATCATAATTCACTTATCGTGACAGGTTCATCTTCAGACTTTTCAATTTTGAGTGCATTTATGGATAGCATGTGCTTTTTTTGTTGGTGTCATTATTAGCTGGTCAAGCTATCTTCTTTTCTGGCTCTATGATGTTCTAAACACATATATGGCATCTCTTTTCTAGAAAAAAAGATTTAAGGAGGTAACTTGCAATCTCAAAATCCAAGTCCAATTCCTGGGACCTTAAATTCCCAAAAGTCCAATTACCGACTACCAGGTACCAACTTCCAAACTTCAAACTCGTAAATCCCAGAAACCAATAACATCCAGCCCTTACTCCTAAAGCTTAACCCTTGAAACCCAAATTTTAACCCAGTTGGCGTCGCAGCCTTACCTAAAAAGCTAGCCATTCTTGTCTAGTAAAGCAGCAATAATTTTGTGATATAATGTCTTTGAACATTAATTTCAGTGCTTTTGTGCATCAAGTGGATATGGTTTTTTAATATATTTTTCTATGCGTGGGGTTTTTCATACAGATACTTAGGGGTGTTAATCGGGTAGTGAATTGTGTACTGGTTGTAATCTCAGTGCATGATGCCCAATTTTGGTACCTTTAAATCATCAGGATTCCTATGACGAAGATGAAGATGAAGATGCCAACAATGACGATGATATAATCAATGATTCACCTTCTGATTCCGATTGTTCAGATGAAGGTGGAGAAGATCATGAAACAGATGATGGTACAATCTTCTCACTCTGGAATTACCATAGCCATTTTATAGGGCCTGTTGAAACAAGAAAGCAAGTTGATACTTGAAGCTCTTAAAGATACCCGAAGGAGTAACAAGTGAAGTGCTAAAATTGATGAATCGATATCTCATTTATAGTTAGTCAAAGGAAAAAAGAAGAAGCAAATGTCATTTATAGATGCGTGTTAGTATTAGGACTTTATTCTGCATGTTAGTTTTGGGACTTTATTCAGTTCTGCACCTCATTCTTTGTCCCTCTAGAAGACAACATGGGCAACGTTTCAAAGTGGACAGAATCCTTGTTGGAAAGGGCCGTCTCAAGGCAACACACTAACCTTATGCAAGTTGTATATGGTAAATTCACTTCAGCGTCAACTCCTGTGAGTCAAACACAGGAAAATAGTGAAGGTGAAGAGAGTGAGGAAGACGATTTCTTTACTCCAAAACAAGAAGGAAAGAAGGTAAATCTTTGATATGTATCCGTTCGATTTTTTTTTCCACCCCCATATTGTCCATGTTTTCTGTCCATTTTAAGAGTTATACCTTGGTGCCATGCATCTTTCCCACACACACAACTTCCTGGATTGCAGAAATCGAGAGAAGGACCAGATGATGGAGATCTCGATGCTGAAGATTGTTCTAAATTCACCAAGTATAGGGCAATAAAAAGCTGGAAAGAGGTGGAAGTTGTTGAAAGCATCCGTGACCGCTTTGTGACTGGGGACTGGTCAAAAGCGGCTAGCAGAAATCAGATATCAGAAGCGAACGGTGATGAAGATGACGCTGTGTATGCAGACTTTGAAGATCTGGAAACAGCAGAGAAATATGAAAGTCATCCGACAAGAGAAGCTGGCAAAACTGCAATGCAGAAGGAAGATGATTCAGTGACTGAAGAGAGGAGGCTGAAGAAGCTTGCTCTACGTGCAAAATTTGATTCTGAATATCCTTTTATACATGATATAATACTTACTTTTTTTTTTTTAAAGAGAAGGCAAAAATCTTCACCCCTCCCCCCCCTCTCGTCCCCTCAGGGCTGAGCCTCGTTCCGGTTGAGCTTTTTTTCCTGTTATTATCAGCAGAAGTTATGCATATACTAGCATGTTAACATTTGGGTCATTACTATCTGGGACAGTCTTACGGAACACTCTGTCTTTCTATGAGCTAAGTTACGGTGAGTTTTTTTATTTTGGTGGCCTTAACTAGTGTCCCTACATATAATGGATCTGAATCACCAGAGGAGGAGATGGATAAAGAGCATAGGGGAAAGATTGACTGCAGTCAAGCAAATGAAGGTGGATATTTTGACAAGGTAAATCATTGGGATCATTTTTCTTCATTGCTTTTACTACTGGTTTTTTTAATGGTTGGTGCTTTGAATTTATCAGTTGAAGGAGGAGATTCAGCTGAATATTGCTGAACTCAATGACCTGGATGAGTCCACTCGATTAGAGATTGAGGGTTTCCGAACTGGTACATACTTAAGATTGGAGGTCCACAATGTTCCTTTTGAGATGATTTAACATTTTGATCCCTGTCATCCTATATTGGTTGGTGGAGCTGGTCTTGGTGAGGAGAACACAGGATACATGCAGGTTAGCATCGATGACAGGTCTAATGACTTCAGTGCTGCTTTAATGGACATATAGTTTCTTCTGCTAGATAATTAAGTCTAATTATAGCTACCTGGTGGCTAATAGGTTCAAATTCAATGTTCTTTTAATTTTGGGGATTTTATAAGCAAGAAAACAGTATTACTCCAGGTTTTTATCAGATGTGAGTCCATGTGTTTATATGTATTGCTATTCAATTCCTTCTGGGTCTAGTGAAATTGATTCATTGGCATGACCTGCAAACTTCTTGCGAGAAAGGGAAAATTTTCCTACATTTATTTGCCAAAATTCCCTTTAACTGTCAAATAACACGATTGCCTCATTGTCAACATAGAGTATCATCATTCCATAGGCCATTAATTGATACTCTTTTAGACATGTCATAAGCAGATAAAGGAATAGATAAAAGAAGATACCGGGGGAAGTGATAGGGATTGCCAACTGAGCCCACCAGCTTAAATGTGGACATTTTAACCGCTTATGGATCATTTTTATTTCTTGAAACTTTGGTTGAGCAACTCTCATGCACTGTATTTTCATTTTCAGGCAAGGTTGAAGAGGCATAGGTGGCACAAGAAAGTGCTGAAGACTAGAGACCCCATCATTGTTTCTATCGGGTGGAGGCGCTACCAAACCATACCTATTTATGCAATAGAGGATAGTAACGGAAGGCATCGAATGTTAAAGTACACCCCCGAACACATGCACTGCCTTGCCATGTTCTGGGGTCCTCTAGCTCCTCCAAACACTGGGGTAGTTGCTGTCCAGCACTTATCAAACAATCAGGTAACTGTTCCCTCTTAGTTAGCTTCATTTTCGTTTAGTGAATTGCTTTGATCATTTGGCATTGGATACTCAATTGGTGTAATTATCCGCATGCTGGTGAGACACTAACATTTTTTAACTCGGTGGATAATGTAGGAAGTCAGAATCATGCGAAAGTTATACATAATGGTGTATTGTACTTGGCTGTTAGGTCCACAATCCACAAGATTATGCATCTCATAGTTAATGTTCAACATATATCTTTAAAATAGGATTCAGTTGCTTTCACTTCTCAGTCTTTCTGGCGCATCCATTTTGGTGAATAATTTGCTTGTAATGCAATCTTTGTCTTGACATAGTTAAAGTGGATAGTGATGGAAAATATTAAATCAAAGTGCCTATTGGCTACATTTTGGTCAATTTTTAGATTTTGAGAAACTGGATTTTCTTTTTCCTTTGTTGTAATTGTTTCAGCTGGGCCTATTATAGATTTGATTTTCTTTTG